GATTTTACAAATTTAGTTCAATGAATCAAAATTTCAATATTAATTCAAATAGTAAGTACAAATAGAAAAGCGATAAGTAAAAGGGAAAGATGATGCAAACGATATAATTGTGAAGGTTCGATCCAGAATAATGATCTATGTCCTCAGTTACCAAACTCTCCGGCACAAGCAATGCATTTTTTACTATGTTGATTGACTTGTGGTGCAATCCAATCATTTACAAAGCTTTCGATGACTTACAAGTAAGGAGTATCGATCCTTTTACAACGTAAAGTTTTTCGGGACCTTAACACGATCCACACTATTAAGCTTTACGAGACCTCAATATGTCCAATACGGTGACTTACAACAAGGAACGTCGATCCTTATACAATGTTGATCTTTAAGAGAATTGAAAACGACCCACAGTTTATCAAAGTTATTTTACAATGAAATTCCTCTGTTGATAAATAATACAAACAAATTAAGTATTAAAAGAGGCTAACACTTCAATGAATAGTAATAAATGATAGCTCAAGTCTTAGATGAAAAACTTTGATGAATATGATATTCAAAAGTTAGATTTAGTCAATCAAAGTGTTTTAATGAGAAGATGAAAAAATAAATACAATGTAGGTTCAAAATTTTTTTCAAGAAATATCTCTCTTTTAATGGATGATTGTAATAAATTAAGTATTAAGAGAGAAATGAGAAACTTTGGTCAATATGATGATTTTACAAGTTTAGTTCAATCAATCAAAGTTTCAATACAAAGAAGAAGAAGAGTTTATGTAATGTAACTGCAAAAATCTTCTTCAAAAATATATCTCTCTTTCAAAGAATAATTTGTGATAAATTTAGTACTAAGAGAGAAGTTAAAAACTTCGATGAATATGATAATTTTTCAAGTTTTACTAAATCAATCAAAATTTTAAATATGAGAAAGTATAAATGTTTATGCAAAATAAGTGTAAAGATCTTTTTCAAAAATATATCTCTTTTTTAAAATTGATACAAATAAATTTACTACAAAAGAGAGATGAAAAACTTTGATGAGAGAAATGATTCAAAAAATTTGATTCAACAGTTAAAGCTTTTGTTATGAAGTTTAAATGAAATGAATGTAAAAATGTAAGTTCAAAGAGGATTTTTCAAATATATTTATCAAGAAAGCATTCTTATATTTTTTTCTAATGAATGCAAAGTGAAGTGATATTCATAACAATCAAAACGCAATAAATTATGTCCAACCGGATGACCATCCGGACGTTCGCCACTCATCGGATGACCAACTAGCCGTTGTGGTCAGAACCGTAAAAAAGCTGATCGTTGGGGGATGAATCGGACGTCCGGTTCATCCATCCGGACGTCCATATTGATAGAAGTTTTTCTATCAAATCAGACGTCCGGTTGACCGATGACATTTTTTTTTATAGATATGATCGAAGTTCAAGTATTACTTTGAAAAATCAATTTTACTTTTGAGCAAAAATATTTTATGTAAGTGATATGAAAATAACTCTTTGTGCACAAAATGATTTTTGAGCTATTGTCATTCATTACTAAAGATCAAAGTGTTATACTTTTACATGTGCTCTCGAAAACCTAGTCTTTGATCTTGTTTCGAAATTTCTTTCATGTTTGGCTTTTAAATTCTTGCTCTTTTGTTATGATCAAAACATTAACGATGAAAACAACTATAGGTCAACAGCTTCAAGATGACGTATATGATTTGTGGATTCGACTAGCGTACGATCATTGAAAAACTAGCTCTTGAGCACTTGGAAATGACATTAAAAATACAATATTTTAACTTCATTTGGCATCTCACGATGATTTTAAAATTGAGACAAAAACAAAAACAAAAAAATTAGAAAAAAAAAATGAAAAAGAATTTGCCCAAAAGTTGGGGGTTCCGTGACCCCACACCAATTTTGTGTGATGTAACACTTGATTTGGTTGTAATCTTTGAAATTTTTGTTATTCCTATTTTACCCTTCACTTAATATTACAACCTATGTTAACTCTTATTATATCATTTTTATATTCTATTATTGTTTAATGATTTAACATTATTTATATTATCTTAATTTGATTATTATTTTTAATTATATTTATTTGTAAATTCTAAGCAAGTAATAAATAATAACTACTGAATATATTAAAATGAAGTTACTCATTAAAACTCAAAAATCACAAATTTGATAATTAAAAAAATAAGAAGAAATTATTACTAGAACAACAATATATTGAAAAATAAAATGTAAAGTAAAATACACTACTAAACTAAGATAATAATTTAGTAGTACAAAATGCATTAATTGATCATTTTTGGAATGAATATACTAATTTTGAGAATTAAATGACAAAATAGTTCTGATTTTTATTATATATGTAGCTTTTCTGTGCGCTAAATGTAATTGTTTTTAATTGTAGTATTAAGTGTAATGTAGTTTTTAATTTATTAATAAATGCAATATTTTAATTCATTAAATATAATTTTTAATTTAATGATTTTAGTAACAATATAATTTATAATTAAATAATTTTTGAAATAAATTAATCATTGAGAAATAAAAAAAATAAGGAAACAAAAGAAACACTATTTATTTGGTTTAATAATTGTTGTAAATATTGGAGATGACTTTGCTAAAATGATATGAAAGTTGCACTAATTTGATGCAAACCATTGGAGATGCTCTAAATAATAAACATACAATTTTCCATTTTATCCCTCTATTCTATTTTAAAATTATTCTATTATTCTATTTTAATTATAAATTTTTATTTTCTTATTTCTTAAGATATTACTTTTCATTTAGATGTACCATTTTAGTTAAAAAATGTAATCATAGATCTTATTATAAAATATATAAAATTATTATATAAGATATATTTTTTTTCAAATACGATTGACAAGTAATTAATAAACCAACATAAATAAATGTTTTATAATAATTTAACAAAGTTAGTTGACATTTTAATATCATTAAAAAATATTGTTATAAAATTATTAAAATGAGTTTTTCAAATACGATTGACAAATAATTAACAAATCAACATGAAGGCCATTACATGGGAAACAAATATTCACAAAATGTGATTTAAGATTAAATAACTTTGGTGTTCGAAAAAGGATGTACAAAATGATAAAAGAACTTTTTAAACTATTAATTTTTTGTTTAAATCAAAACCAAGAAAAAGAGAATGCGCTTGCACGCACACATATATAGAGACATGAATGATCTAATGAGCATGGATACTCATCTTATATCAAGCACCAGTGACATTTTCATGCAAATTCATTGATGGATTTTAAACTTTTCATTTTCAACCACACATTTTTTAATAGAATAATATTTTCCATCACATCAATAATTTTTTCTTCTTTTTCAACCACACATTTCCCATCATATCACTATTCAAAATCAATTTTTCCCCCAAAAATCTCTCACAAACAAGCTCTAAATAACTTTGGTGTTCGAAAAAGGATGTACAAAATGATAAAAGAACTTTTTAAACTATTATTTTTTTGTTCAAATCAAAACCAAGAAAAAGAGAATGCGCTTGCACGCACACATATATAGAGACATGAATGATCTAATGAGCATGGATACTCATCTTATATCAAGCACCAGTGACATTTTCATGCAAATTCATTGATGGATTTTAAACTTAATTCAAATGTTGAGGCCTACCACAAGTTTATCCATTTATGAATTTATATGACACGTCACTAGTGATTAATATAAAATGAATACTGGAGCTCAATCTATCATTCATGTGCATACATATATATACATGTGTGTATGTGTGTGTGTGTGATGAAAACCAAATATTGGTGTGTGACATATAAATTCATTGTTTGGATAAAATTTTAATGTGTCTCAACATTTGAATTAAATTTATTATCCACAAACAAATTGATACGTTATCGTGCTTGGCATAAGATGAGTTCTTATAAAATGAATTTGAGAAAAAAATGAGTTTTTGGATAACGATGCTCAAACATGGTTTAATATTTAGAGAAAATACATAATTACAATACATTGAAAATACATACAATTTTATATCTATCAAACTTGTAAAAAAGTTTTACAAATCAGGTGTCAAATTAATATATATATATATATACAGACACAAACACGTTAATGGAGAAAATTTTTTGTAGATAGATAAAGACTTAAAGTAGAGAGAGAGAGAGAGAATTGTAAATATCTTTATAATAATGTGGAGTGAGAGTAGGGATAGAGGTAGGATAAATCATGATTCGCGTCTCGCTCAATGGAGAAATTTGGGGTGTGTATGTTAGTGGGATATATATAAATTGGTATATTAAAAAATAAATATCTTCATTATCACTTGATTTGTGGAATTAAAATAATTCCCCTTATTTTTGAACAGCGTAATTTATACGTAGGGCTTTGAATAATTTTCCTTGATATTTATTCAAAATATTTCGATTTTCCCAAATATTTTCATAAGTTCATCTTTCCAAAAAGGCATTGGTCTGTAAAAATATATGCGCCTATAAATACCTCCACCTCTCTTATCTTTTGATCCCCTCTCTCCTCCCCCCTCCCCTCTCTCTAGATCGCTCTCGATCCTCATTTCGATTTTCAGCTTCTCGCTAGGTTTTTATCACTGTAACAGTACATCCTTAAACCCTTGTTAATTTTCTCCCCAAAAATCCTTTCAAAAGAACCCTAGAGCTGAATTCTGTTTCCTCTCTAGGGTTATCAGATCTCAAACCCGAATTTCACATCTCAAATCCATCGAGAATTTCAATGTTTGCCATCCAATTGAAGTTCCCCGCAAAATGTAAGTAACCTCTTAGTATACTCTTACTCCAGTAACAATTTTTTTTAACTGTTGATAAGCGCGCCCGATAGGGTTTCAATATTATTTGAATCAGTGCTGTGAATTTTCGGCGGCTAGGCTTGAATTTTAGAGCTGAGCTCTAGTAGTGTTTTTCGAGGTTTTCTAGGAAAAAAAACCCTAAATGGTTCTAGAACCTGAATATGAGCGATGGAGGTAAAGCGGAGAATAAGATAGGGAAAGAGAGTCCAATTACTCGACCTGGTGAGGATAATTTTGGCCGAGCAATATCGAAAATTGCAGTGGCGCAGATATGCGAGAATGTTGGATTTGAGAGCTTTAACGAGTCGGCGCTCGATTCCCTTGCTGACTTGGCAATCCGGTATCTCCTTGACCTAGGGAAAACTGCCAAATTTTATTCAAATTTAGCTGGTAGGACTGAGTGTAATGTGTTTGATATAATTCAAGGGTTAGAGGATTTGGGCATGTCGACAGGGTTTTCAGGTGCTTCAGAGGTTGGTGTTAATTGTGCAATTAGTTCGGGCGCTGTAACAGAGATTAGAAGGTACGTGGAGTCAGCCGAGGAGACACCCTTTGCACAGCCAGTTCCACATTTTCCGGTGGCCAAAGAATATAGATTAATACCAAGTTTCTTGCAAATGGGTGAGACACCTAATTTTAAGCATATTCCAGAGTGGTTACCTGCATTTCCCGACCCTCACACTTATATACACACAGCCGTGTGGAATGAAAGGGTTTCCGATCCTCGCGCAGACAAGATTGAGCTAGCCAGGCAGCATAGAAAGGCAGAGAGGGCTTTGTTGAGCTTGCAGCAGAGGCTTGTGTGTAATGAGTCATCAGTGGCATCTACATCTACTGAACTAGTTGATGGTAGGAATGGCTTAGAAGTTAATGATATTAAGAACCAAGTTTTGGCAAATCCTCTAGAAGATGGTGAGCAAGATGATTCTCCTGTTGTTCTGCCTGGTAAGTTCTCTGGTGAAGAACATATGGAAAACCATGTTTCTTTGCTGGAGACGTTTGCTCCCGCGATTGAGGCAATGAAGGATGGGCTTTCTGATTATGGAAATAAAGGAGAGAAGAATTTTTCGGGCAAGAGGCCTGTTGTTCTACCTGCTAAGCTCTCTGGTGAGGCACACTCCGAAAAACATGTTTCCTTTTTGGAGACATTTGCTCCTGCAATTGAGGCAATGAGGGATGGGCTCTCTGATTCCGGAAATTATGGAGAAAAGAGTTTTCCTGGCAGGAGGCCTGCTGTTTGTTTGGAGTTCAAGGGTGGTAAAAAAGTTTTTGGTGAATCATTGGATTTGAGGATCCGGAACAAGACTTTTCGTAGAACAGCACCCTGGTTTGGACGCGAGGATGAGAAGGATGACAAGAAGAGGAGGATTGAGTTTATACTGAGGCAATCCATGGAAAACCAACAGGAGCTGACTTAGATGTACATTTGTAGTTCATTGATTGACTTGGTGGAAGGGAATTGTCATACTCTGTTAAAACTTGATTAGGTTAGTCAAAACTTGAACTGTAGCTCGGCTTGTGAATGTGTTGAGAATCCATTTAGGAACTGGACCCCTGTTTTTCGAGGTAAGCAAATGGTGTTTCAGATTTTTCCATTCATCTATATTGTGATTTTTTCCCAAGGAAATTGTAGCTTCCATTTTTTATTATTGAGACGTTAATCTTAGCTTGTGCATTTTATTCTCTGCTTTTGGTGATCTGTTGGTCATGAACCTTATTTTATAGCTCAAATGTTATTTAAGGTAGATCTATTTACAAATTTTCATGTGGTGCAAGTACGTGTAAATAATTTACTCGTGGACATCTACACAGGGATATTATAGTTTCTCCATGTACCCGCAATATCTTCTAAAAAATGGGAAAGAAGCATCTAGGGTTATTCTTTGTTGGACCTACTGTTCCTCAAAAACTGGCAATCCTGTTCGTCAAAACTCTTCCTTTGCTTGCTGCTTGTTAAGAAATATTTATGCACGTCGATCATTTTTTTTGGTTCCTAACCATTGTGCCACGCTTTGGTTTTTGTATACACTTTTGACTGAAAACTTGTATAAATCATAACTTCAGAACTACTGCAACAAAGAAAAAGTTATACTATTAATAATTATTTTCCTAATTAATTATATGTATTGTTCAATCGACACCTGTAGAAAATTGAAAGTGTTCATTATATACGAATTGAATATTGGTTGACATCTATAACTTGTCTATACTAGAAGGAGAAACTGAACATGTAAAATAAAAGGAATAGTCATTGTTATGATAATCAGCCACAAACCATTGTTGCTAAAGAAAATTAAGAGAACATATGGCGTACCAAAAAATAGAAGTTCTCCAAAATTTTGTTAGTGAGTACCCTAAATTACCAACAAAAATGCTATGCTATTCTGCATCTGTATACATGCAAGCAAATCAGTTAATATAAGTGGAGAGTGGGCATAATGCCATATGACATGAATGACTAAAATGCTATGCTATTCTGCATCTGTATACATGCAATCAAATCAGTTATATAAGTGGAGAGTGAACATAATGCCATATGACATGAATGATCTTGATAAATCAATTTTGATAAATAATGTGCATGTGGAAGGAAATGGGTGGAATGGATGTTCTTGAGAAGTTGATTTTGATAAATAATATAAATGAGGAAAAATAAACAGGGTGAGGGGGGCATAGATATATTTCAAAATATTATTCCAACTTATGCTGTAAAAGATGTGTATCATGACTGATCTTTTATGGTCAAATATACAACTACTGCAAATAAAATTGATAACAACTGACGAAAGAAATGATAGACCATGTAAAGATTGGATATGTGTATAAAAATAGTAAAATTGTAAGGAAGCGTGATTAGGTTACCACTCTGCTTTGACAATAAGGTCTTTCAAATTGACTATTTTGGGAATTGTTTCAAGCAACTGTGTATCCCCCTCTTTTCTGGAAAGGATATAAAAATTGCTTCTTATTTCTTTGAGGCTGAACATATACCCATGCTTGAGAGAGAGTTGTCCATACATTGACTCACATGGGATAAGTTACTGTGATCCAGCTTGGGCAATGCATGCCTTTTCATAAGTTAACTTCGACCAAGCCAGTAAGGGCATATCTTAGAAAGATTAATGGGTTTGAAGTGAGGAACGGTTTATATTTGATTTCCATGTTTTAGTTTAGTTTTACCTAATAAGCTATCAATCTACATTAGTTAGGAGAGGAATTTGCTGCAACCTGATCATCTCCCTCATTCCATTGATGGCTACTGCTGCCATACTTCACCCCCTAGAGCAGTTAAATTAGTCAGCATTCAACTGTTCGGTAACTTGAGATTTCACTTTTCCCCTTTCCACTCAGTTTATTATTATTCTCAGCATTAGATTGGCTGTTTCTAAAATTTGTGGTGTGCACAAAGTTAATTGTTTAACCACATTTATGCTGTGCTTTGCAACTTGGATTTAGGTTTCACTAGAAATCCAGCGTTCGATTTTGTACGTATTCGCCTGAATTTAATTAAATACACAAGTTGACAAGCATGCTCTAAAAGGTTTCCTTTTATCCCTTTGTCATTTTTTATTTTCTCCTTTCTTTCGTTTTTGTTTTCTTTACCTTCTGTTTTTGGAGGCTGGGAAGTGAATTTGGGTCTTTGTCTCCTTCAACTCATAATTTTGACTAATTCTTCCTTGTTAAATCCTTGCGCAACATACTGATAGTCTTTTGCCTTTCATTACTCATAGAGAAGAAAAGGATTGCTACTCAGTTTCCTTTTTTGTGTTTTTATCCAATATAACCTTAGCAGCGATGCTATGTAGTTAAGTTGGTTATACATAAATCGGAAATATTTACTGTGCCTTTGTAGTGCATTCATGTGCTGATTTTTGAGTTTCAGAAGTTTTAACATGTATGGCTGAAGATATGAAAATTGAATTAGGCTTTTCTTTTGATTATCTTATTTTGCTGAGGGCACCTTTTCCATTATTCTTTTTAAATTTCTTTTGGGTCGAGGAGAAAAGGCGTGTTACTGAAATTTTAATTCCCTGAAGAGTTGAGCTATTGGAAGAATGCACATTGGTAGATTTTCTATTCCATTTGTGATATTTTGAAGTCCAATACTGGATCACACAACTAACTGTGACCTGGCAGCCTCACTTGAGATGGGACTTCCAGTTTCTAGAGTTCCTGTTGAACTTTTTTGTTGTTACTCGTAAACCAAATGTAACTATTCCTCGGTGGTCATCATGATATTTTATTCTTTTACCCCAGCCTGAACGCTGGTGTATGTTTGAAATGAAGTCCTGGTCAGTATATGTACAAGATATATGCTTTGTTTTCTTCTTTAGTACGTCAAATTCTATTCGATTCTCCATACCACACATGCCATAAGGTTATCAGCAAATGCTGGTGGTAGCTTTTTGCAATTTCAACCAAAATAAGATTCTGACAAATCACTTGAATCTGAAGCCCAAAAATGTGGATTTTGCCGAACAATAATTCCACTTTACCAGAAGAATTTCACTAGAACTTTACCAAATATCTCACATGGGGGTGGGTCGCACTGTGAATAAAATATTGCAAAAAATGTGGGCCCACCCCTAGTGTCTTCTTTGTGGGTTTTCTGTGTTTATAGTATTCTGTACACATAGCAAGGTTGTTTACTGAAATAGGAGTATCAGCATATCAAAGGAATGTCACTTTATTCTTACCTCCACACATTTATGCCCTGTTTGATACATGACAATTTCACTGTTTGATTTGCAAAATTTTCCACTGACTTCCTTTTCCTACTTTTCTTCCACGCGCTTGATTTTCCAGCTTTATCATGAAATTATTTTCTTCTTGTTTTGATGGTTTTTGGTTTTCCAACTTTTTTTTGACAATTGGAACGAATGCTAAATCCAATGGTAAAAAAATTATCATTTTAATGGACAATTTATGAAAAACAAAGTTAAACAGACACCAAACTTTCAATATTTTTAAGTAGAAAATTATATTAATTAAATACAATTAATTACAATTTTCAGTAAAATAATTTCTAAACAATTCAATTTCCTACAATTCATTTTTTTTTTCACCTATTTTTTACCTTTATAGTCAAACGGACCTCTAGATGATATTTTTCGACATATGGACATGTACCTACTTTTGTTTGGGGGCAGGTTGTGTAGGCTTGTTAGGATATGCAGATATATAATTTGAAATGACAGTTTTCAGTCACTTCTTCTATTGTATAGTTCTATCCAGAAACTTGTATAGTTGTGTGGGAGTATTGCCAGTCTCAACTTCCCCACTTTTAAAAACTGCATCACCCATTCACCCTTCATAAGTTTATTTTGTAACAAATTGGATAAGTCTTAAAATAAATAATGCGTTATGTCAAAATTAGAAATAATTTAATTATCGTGACTTTCAAAATAAACATGATTTATGCAGTACTTAAAAATTAGGAAAAAATAATATCAACAAACATGTATCGAAACAATTTTGCATGCTTGGCGAAGACCGATGAATAAATTTTAAGCTTAGCCAAACATAACTTAAAGTTTGTTTAACTAGTTTTTGCCGAACATATTTGTCAAAAGAATGAAAAGAAAATTTTCAGTTAAAAAATTTACCTTCGTAAAATTTAAAGTAAGTCTATTAAGCTTGAAAAAAAAAATAAAAAAATTAATAGTAGTTGAAATTACTTAGCTCCTGTTTGGTCGCCATTATTTGAGATTATAATTTTTAAAATAGTGTTTTTTAAAGAATGAGTTAAAAAAGAAGAAAAAAATTTGGATTTACCTTTAATATTATTTTATTGGAGAATGTGTGATTAATAAGAAAAGAGAAAATTTGATTATAATTTAAATGGAGCTAAATGGGAGCTTATTTTGATGGGAATCTCTATTTGCTTATTTTGATCGAAGCAACTGTGTACATAAAATAATATTGCATACAAATCTAAAACTTTTTATTACTTTTCCACCACACATTCTCCCATCAATCACTATTCCAAAAATTTTCAACCATAAAAAATGTAAAATAATGTGGACCAAACAGTGGCTAAATCAAATTGGTTGTGTTACATGTATAGATTTACATAGTGGTTTACACACTTGATGTGATAAGAAGTGATTGATGCATAATTTTTCAACCGAATGAAAGAAAAAAAGGTTTTTCTCTCCTCTTGACACCTCATCTATATGTAGAGCTTGTTTGCACCGGATTAAAATTTAATTTTAATCTAAGTCAAAGTCAAACAATCAATATTAACCACATATTTCATAGGTCTCATATCTTTTCAACCACATATTTCAAGAAATTCTATCACAATCCACTAAAAATCTAATTTTAATTTCCACCAAACACTTTAGTAAATTATTATGTAATTCCACTATGTACAATTAGTATTATTCTGAACCAAAACTCCGTCGCCTCCATAGAT